AGTTAAAGGCAGAAAAAGGAGCTACGTGATTGGTGGGAACATGGCAACGAGAAAAATACGAATAAATTAGTGGAATGAAAACCATTCGTTGATACCTGTGGGATTTAGACTGCCGGTTTGAAAGATGAGCTTTTGTTCAAGATTTGATTTGTCCGAGGACAGATAGATGCGTAAAAGATTCTGTTTTCGGTAAATAGTATAAAAAAGTAAAACAAAACAAAGCAAAACAACTAAATGTGACCAGGAAGAAGTACAAGAAAATGATTTCTTGACTGTAATTCGTTGATACCTGTGGGATTTAGACTGCCGGTTTGAAAGATGAGCTTTTGTTCAAGATTTGATTTGTCCGAGGACAGATAGATGCGTAAAAGATTCTGTTTTCGGTAAATAGTATAAAAAAGTAAAACAAAACAAAGCAAAACAACTAAATGTGACCAGGAAGAAGTACAAGAAAATGATTTCTTGACTGTATTTCGTTATCTAGGAGTTTCACTTTGTTTAAATTGTCTCATCTAACCAGGGTAAAATTCCACACAGTTATGAAAGCCCGAGAAAGAATTCTTTCAACCCTCTGGTTCTTAATAAATGAGGCTTTTCAAACATGGAACAGTATTTTACTGCCTTGAATAAAACAATTCCAAAAACGGCGTGCGGATCGTTAAGGTCACAAATATATTTGTGCGCAATCATGTAAATGCATCAATGGACCAGTGAGGCTCGCGTTGTATCTCAGTTATTCTTAAAACATTATCTATCAAAAATTTAAACAAGTAGACTTTATATGCTGTGTGCTGTTTCATGAATAGTTTACAGTTGAGTTAAAAATGTAGCAAGAAAAAAAACTCCCTCTGGTGTCAGCAGTGATTTTTGACTGAATGGACACACAACAACTTGAAACCTTTTGAAATAGTCATAACTTTTTCATTTTCGCGCTTTTTTTGTGTGGACTATATTATGTTTAGTGAGCCTTGCTTTCAATGAGCTGTGCACTATAGAGCCTCTTACAAAATAATACAACCAAACAAATATCTTAAATACAAATGATGTAATCACCAATTCAATCAGTTTAGCCTTTCATTTCACAGATGTATTTTCGTTGACCAGTCTCTTGGTGATTATATTGTGAGTTAAAATGCGAATAAACAGTTTTATTGTAATGTTTTCATTGGTGTGGTAAGAGTTGATTATGCAACCAAGTCGAGAAGCGATCATCGCAATTGCATCTCAATAAGAGATCCCCTGGCTAAGCAACAAAACTAATCAACAAAGTAACATACCCTAGATTAAGTGAGGAAAAATAAACTCACGGTGGGATCAAACTCTCGGTTTCAAGTGAAGGTATAACCCTCTGTGCCGCCCATTATGTAAAGACTTTTGAGTCGTTTTAGTCTGCAAACGGGTGCAGATATCAAACTGTATGGACATGACTCGGTTGTGGCTCCTGGAAGCCACGGGAACGAGTAAACATATTTGTCTTTTAAGCAAGATTTATCCTTTCACGGTTTCATTTTTGGGTGAATTTCGCCACTTTTTGATCTTTATTTAGAGACATTTCGGACATGTTTAGCAATAATTAACAATTATTCGCCTCAGGTTCGGTGAATATCGTCAAATAATCCCCGTGACGAAAATTTCTAAAATGATAACATTTTAGTAACATTTATTAACATTTTATTTTAACATTTTATATAAACCGCGTGGAGCGGTTTATATGGCGTCATATAAGGAACCGCTCGATCAATCAGATTGCTGGAAACTCTTTGCCCAGCTCTTAAATTATACTAATTGATAATAATTCATGGACCCATAACGCGCAATGATCAATATAGAATTTTCGTTTGCGCATTACAGTGCTAAAATCTCAACTAAACCGGCATATTATAGCTAAAAATTAAAAAAGAATTATATTCATTAGTTAATAGATAAAATGGATGACTGAAGAGACATTTAGAACGTGTTAAACAATAATTTATAACTACCCTCGGACTAATAATATGCGTAATTGTCAACATAAAATTTTCAATTGTGTATGACAATATAAAAATATTAACTAAAACTGGATAATAAACTAGAAATTAAAAAAGGAACCAAACCGATAATACTCCTTAAGTTTTCAATTTGGAGTACGAGCGAACAAAATTTAAGTATATTTTTTTGGTCATAATAATGAAGCAGGCAAGCCTCGGTTTCTCTATTAGATTGCTCGTGCTGCTTTATCATTCCCAACTATTCCATGATCTGCTACCTTATGGTTATTCTCGTTAATCTTCACTCGGGCTTACATCTTGGTGAAGCAAACTAATCACGCAAATGGATTGATCTTTGACAGTTTGTGCTTCTTTTTAACTATTCAAAAGCCGGAATAGGCATGATTATTGATACAGCTTCTTCAATTCGTAATTACTTGTCGAACAGCTTGCAAAACGAAAACGATTTGTAGCTTTCATAATTATCTTAAGCCCAATCCACTTATAAACCACTAATTCAAGGCGGAATGCACAAAATGAAATTTTAACACAGGAAAACGATATTTAATGAACTCTTCGTCATCTGTTCCAAAAACGAAGAAAATACGAAGGTCTGTGGCTGCAATTATTCCTCAAAAATAAAACAACAACAACAACACAAAATAGCCTCTCACGACATTGCTCAATTTTATTGGCTAACCTATTCGGCAGAGCGCATTCTTTCCTGAGAATGGTATAACTGCGTGTAACCTTCCAACAAATGTAAGCGTGAAAGAAAGGAAAAAAAATGCGAAGCTCTGGGGCGATGTCGATTTTTCTTCATATGTCCTGTAGAGGAAAGAAATCGTCTTCTATCTTACTAACACTAAAAGAAATAAAAGCTAGAATCAAACATTAATTAAGGGTTACTATAGATAAAGGAAATAATCACAAACATGATAGGTACCTCTTGATTGTTAAACAAATTCTCCTTGTCAGCGCCTTAGGAAATTTAACAAGAACAGTGTTGAGAATATACTGATGTACGTTCTAAGGGGTTAAGAGCGGATTCGATTGCTTCAAATAATTTTTACATATACTTGTAAAACTGTAAAATCTGTAACTGCATGTATGGAAGGTGCCAGATGGACTTACATAGTTTCTTCATCTGTTTGAGAGATGATTTTTGCTACAGGAAGCTGTATCGTTAATCAGTTGTGGCTGTTAGACATCTAGCCTACCCTTCAAAAACGTTACCTTGTGTCGAACTCCGTATCAGTCCTTCGTTTTGCCTTAATAGGATGGAATTTCCTCAAAGTTCGCTTAGCTGCTTCGCGAAGCTCAGTTACTCGCCAGAAATAGATCACAGGATTTATCGAAGAGTTCGCAAACATGATAGCAACTGCCAAGCAATGCACAGAAGATGTCCTTAGATCTTCCTGTTCTTGTGAGGCGCTGATTGCAGTGGTAATAACAAACGGGAAATAACTTAAAGCAAACGCGGCTACAAGAATAATCATTGTGTTTGTACTGCGGCGATAGCGAATCATACTTTGAAAAGTTCTTTGATTTGTATCGCGTACGTGTTTTTTGTGCCTTTTCACAGTTTTGTGAATGAGAGCTAAGCAGCGCAAAGAAATCACTCCTAGTATAATGCATACAGCCGTAAGTGCATAAGCCAAGAGTTTACTCATGGCCCAAAACCATAGAATCGTAACCAACGCCGCCCATATTAACCAGTAGATAACAACTGTAATGATCACTCGAGAGGCTGTTATCAATTCTGTATATCGAAGATGAAAGCGTAAGGCGAGATACCGCTCGTAGCTAATGGTTGTCAGAGTTAGGAAAGAAATCCCGTTAAAAAGCCAGCTTGAATAAAAATGCATGAACACAGTCAAGCAGTATTTATCCAATTTTCCGAACAGCAAGAACATTTCGGCTACAACAAAAAACGGCTGAGCTGTGAAACCAACAAAAAAGTCGGTGGCTGCCAAGGAGCAGAGCAAAATATTTCTCGGTGAGTGCAACGCAGGCGTTCGCCATGTAACAAACACGACAACTGCGTTTAAAAACAATGCGAAGAAACAGAGTATGGACAAAAAAATACAAGCCGTTAGAGAAGTGATAACGTAAAACTGTGGCAATTTCTTCCTGATATTCATGTCCAGAAACGGTTGAAGTTTCTCGCAGTAACCAAATGGTTTAGTAATTGAAGTGTTTAGCAGAACTAAACTTGTTGTATTCGCCATGATTAGACAAAACTGTGTTTTCGGCTGTCGTGTTGTTCATTTATATCCACTAACTTATATGAAATTGCTTTCTTCTTGGAAAGCTTTTAGACAGCAGGTGCGTGTTAGCTGCAACGCGGTTGGCAATTTCCTGTAAATGCAATTTGACCGCCGTTTTTGATCTTCCTAATGACACGGTTTCGTCACTCCGTGCCGTAATTTTAGGCTATTAGATACAGTGTATCAAAGAAACTAGAGTGTTCCGCTCAGCATAACTCGCATTTGTTGATTAGTATTTTACAAAGAAAAGTTATTCACCTCACGTTAACCATTCATATGCAAATAACATACGTCTTCTTGAAATAAGTATTTACATAAACTGAGATGAAATGTCTTTGAATGAAACATCAGTTCTTGGTTTTCAACTTGGATAAAGTAGATCGTTTGTCGAGTATGGAACAAAGTGCAAGTCCAACAGATGCAAAAGAGATGTCAGTTTTCTTTCAGGGAAATCGTGTTTGTTTCTCCATTTTATTCTGTTTTGGGCATAAATCGATTTGTTAAACATTCAGTGACCTTTCTAATTGATGACGATTGCTTTGGGAAACTTAGCAGGTGGAGAAAATCACAAAATGAAGTGAATTGAAGTTCTGGGGAAATGATGGTTAAGGACGTTTGGGACTACACTGTTTAGTTTAGAACTGAAAGGCACTCAATGGCTGCCAGAGATAAATCGTCGAAAAGCAAGGTGTACTGTTCCAATATTCATTTCCACGGGTAATTTTTTTCTGACAGCAATTTATGCAAGAGAGAGTGAAAACAGATTTGACATTCTCTGTCATCAACATCTTTCAAATAAGGGAAAACGTGACGTTGTTAGTAGTTAGTAAAGCTTTAACAGAAAGCGAAAACAGACTTAACTTTCTCTGTCCATTAACACCTTTCAAAAAGGGAAAAACCTGACTTCGTTTGTAAAACGTTTACATGTCAGTAATGATGCAGTTTTGATTGAAGGACGTGATAGCCGCCAGAGTACGAGCATTTCCTTCTTTTCGGCGAAATCCGTCGGGCGGATCAAAAAAAAAAAAAATCAGTGAAAACATGAATAATTGACGTTATGTCTAGGTACTTTTCGAACATCATGCTCACGGAGCTCCCTCGGCGCATCAAAGTCAAAATTAGAACTCCCCGCGGCGCGCTAAACTCTAGGAGGTAATACTACTCGTAATCAGGCGATGTGTGCACTCTGATAGCGTTGCATCATGGTCGTAAAATAAAACTTGAGTCATTCGCATCTTGACGCGTTGGAGTGAACTTCTTTGGTGGCAGCGAGTTAGCGTAAACATATGTGGATTGTAATGGGGATTCACTGTCTGTTGCCGTTCCTTCGAAAGTTAAAAAGTTTGAAGGGCCTGCGTGACTCCCGTCATTCCATCCGTGACGAATTCGTTCTTAGGAGGCAACTGACGTTGTTATGAAAGATTCGAAACTGCAATCTGCCCAAGAATCTCGACACAAAAGGCGACAGTTACACTCACAACTGATGGCGGGATGAATAACTTCAAAGTCAGAAATTATATACGTAGACGCGAGTTATTTAACAGGGAATTGACCCTTGACATGCAAACGGATATTAAAGAGAGATAGACCTTGTAATACACGAACTTTTTCCACCAAGCGTAAATACGGGATTTGTAAAAGGAGAAGCCTCACGCCTCCTAAGAACGAATTTGTCTCGCTCTACGTTTAGAGTTTCGAAATACCCTTAGAGAATAGAGGAAATCTAGATAAGGGTTTTGAGAAACGTTTCTCTAGAGTCATTTCTGCAGGAGAGAATTTTCTTTAAAACAAATATTTAAAATAAATTTCATAATATTTAAAAGTAATAGAAAAAAGCTAAAACACAAAGCAGATGTCATTATTAATGAACATTCTATTGACAAAGTGAAATATACAAAATTTCTGGGAATATACATAGATGAAAAACTCTCTTGGAGGTACCATATTAACCATATTGCTAGTAAAATCTCAAAGATGACAGCCATAATGGCCAAGGCAAGACATCACTTAACTTCTAAAACATTGCTAACTTTATATCATACTCAGATACAATGAATATATGAAGTCCATATATTTTGAGCTGCGGTATTAAATACGTATGATGCACGATCCTTCGCAGTAGATAGCGCTATTTATGCAATAGCGAAAATCAGACCAAGGTCTATCTCTCTTTAATATGCGTTTGCATGTCAAGGGTCAATTCCCTGTTAAGTAACTCGCGTCTACGTATATAATTTCTGACTTTGAAATTATTCATCCCGCCATTAGATGTGAGTGTAACTGTCGCCTTTTGTGTCGAGATTCTTGGGCAGATTGCAGTTTCGAATCTTTCATAAGATCATTGTATCTGATTTATCTTCACGGGTTTATTACGAATCAACTTAACGGCCTGCTCCCAGTTGGCTTGTTAGCTCAATTGGTAGAGCGCTGCACTAGTATCGTAGAGGTCAGTGGTTCGAATCCCGTACAGGCCTGATTTTTTTTCAGGTCTGATTTTCGCTATTGCATATATAGCGCTATCTACTGCGAAGGATCGTGCATCATACGTATTTATATCATACTATGATTTACCCCTACTTGAATTATTGTAACATCATTTGGGGGAGTACTTATCCGACTAGACTTCTCTCTATCTTCAAGATACAGAAGAAAATTGTGAGGATCATGACCTTCTCAAATTATAATGAAGATACAAGACCTTTGTTTGAGTCCTTAGAAATACTAAAAATCTAAGAACTAAACACATACCTGACAGCAGTTTTCATGTATTCATATTACCATGACAAGCTTCCAGTATTTTTTAATAACTTTTTTATTGCCAATGATAACTTACATTCTTACAATACACGAATAATGTCACAGATACATATTGAATTTAATAGAACAAATTATGGTAAATTTTCTGAGATATTGGGGAGCTATTGTATGGAACAGTCTACCGAGTGAGATTAGAGACAATTTCTTACAATCTTTTCAAAAAATCGCTAAAACTTTATGTTCAAAAATTGATTTGTTTTAGACTTATTTGATTTTCTATCAGCATGTTGAGAATATAAAATAACTGTGTATTTGCAAATCTCTGATCGAAAAGAAAGACATTAATATTCGCCTTCTATTATTAGTAAACTATTTCAAATGATACTATAATTAAATGGGGATCTTTTAAAAAGCTCAGCAGAGCTTACTAGATCTCCTGCCGTATCTTGTTTATAATGTAGTATGTATTATATCATGTAAAGAACTATTGAAGGCGAATAAACAATGATTGGAAAACAAGGAAAATAGCGCGCGCACAAAAGAGAATATTGCCTTTTGTAACACAATCTCATCCGGCTTTGCCAAACCTCAAGAACGTACAGATGTAGCCTGCGAAGCAAGCCCTAAGGGAGAGGAGGGGGGGATTGGGAAGCAAGCCCTGGAGGAAAGGAGGGGAATTGGGGCGAGGGGAGAGGGAGGGCTTGCCGCAGACCCCCACTAACCAACGAAACGCCCCCTATTTTCATATTCATATCGTCTTGCATTTGTTAATCAGCGCCTATTAAAATTAACCAATCAGAACGCCCCGTTAACGAGAGTTCAGTGAACCATGCAAACTGTCAAAACAACAACCAAAACTTGCTCCACGCGAGTGAGAAATGTCGGACGACAAGGAGAATCTGGTATCAAAATCTAGGAGAGGGAGAAAGCTAAAGTTAATCCAGAAGACGTAGTTTGCCGGATTTGTGGAGTAAATTTAAGATTAAAATTTGGAAGTGGCTTCAAGAGTTTTGTAAATATATTTAATGAGAGTCAAAGGGAAGAATTTCAGTGTGTCTTCGCCGATCGCCTTCGAACGGTCGGTTTTCACTTCGAAAATAAGTCGCACATGTCTCAAATTATATGCCTCCCTTGTGCAAGAAAAGCTAACAGTTTTTGTCAGTTTTATGAACTGTTGAATAAGGCCGCTTCTCAATGTCCGGATTCGTCGAAACGAAAGTTCTCAACACCGACAGGAAAAAGTCCGCGTAGAAAAAGCTTGCGTCTCCGCTCCCCGGCGCATGCAAAACCTACATCCAGCAGGAAAGCGTTGTTTGACTCGCCGACGAAAGGACAACCCTCAACTTCAACGATGGATACAAATTTAAACATTGAAGATTTGGATCCAACATCCATCGGCTTTGCTATTAAACTGTGTATTGCCTACAAAAGTGGTAATGTTGTGGTTAATGGCAAGTTCGAGAATGAAGACGCTATGCTTATCAAGGCCCTGAGCTTGAAAAAGTGGATGGCTGCCACAAATATTCTTCTTCGACATCGATTCTTGAGGGCAGAACTTCTCGATGCAATAGAGAAAGAAATGACGAAGGAAGTGAGAGAGTACTCTAAAACAGACAACTGCTTAAAGAGTTCAGACCCAGAACATTTAACTGTTTTTTCAAACTCGACACTATGCCAAGAGCTTTCGGAATATAGTCCTATACTTCATATGATTTTCAGTGCTGCATGTGGTTTGTCTGATGGGGAAAAGAACACAAGAGAATCCAATGCATTGGCATTAGCTGCCTCTACCCTCCTTAGATGTAGTAATCCTACCATGTCTGCACTTGCATACAGGGAGTCTCTCATTTTGTATAACAGTGGTGTGAGTTATGAGAATTTTACGAGATTAAACAATCTTGGTATATGTATGTCATCAGCAAGCACTATAGCATTGCATAAGAAAATCAATGAGAACTTTGACTATAAAGTTCAACTCTGGAAAAGGCAGATCGAAGAGAACAGATCAATTGTAGCATTGTTGGAGGAGGTAAACAAAAAGCAAATGGCTTCATTTGGTGAGGATGATATGGTTCTTGAGCTTCCACTGAATGTAAACGAAGATAATCTGGTCTCCTACCATTATTACACTCCATCTATCTATAAAGCAATGGTTCATGTTTTGGAAACTGTGGTTGGGAAAAAGGTTGATTTGTCTGTCACAGAAGATGATATAACACTTGCTATTGAAAAAATGAAAGCTGAAAGATTGCCATTTTACAAGTAAGTTTAAATTTGATAGATTACTGGTATCAGGGTATCATTGTGGACAAGGACTTATCTTCAAATTGGAAAAGCTTGTCTTTGATTGCTAAGTTTTAAAATTTATCTATTTTTGCAGGATTGTTGCAGACAATATAGACCACAACATCCAGGCTTGTGTGCAAACTAAGTCATGCCACAATCGTTCAGTGCATTGGACGCACCAGTTTGCCTTGAAAGAACAGGCTATTGAATTGGGGTTGGAAAGCGAGTTACCACAGAAATCAGTTGATGACCTAAACCTCATTGAGTTATTACCTAACCAATGTGTTCAAGACCACTTCGTACAACAGTGGGCAGTTCTTGTCAGTAGAGTGATTACCAAGTACATTCCTGCCTTTAATCAGTACAAAACATCTGTGATTTACCATATACCTCACAAATACTCGAAAGAAATGTCAATGAAATCAGAATTGGTAAGTGGGCAGTCTTTTAACTGATGGCAACAAGTACAAAAATCAACACCTGCTACTATTAAATACTAATTATTTGTTGTTCATTTTAGTGTTCACTCTCAATGGAGTTCCACAACCCAAATGTTGCAGGAGACATGGCACAGATTTTAAAGAATTACCAAGACAAATATGTCCCAACAAGTGTAGTTGATAAGAAGGATGTTTTGACAAAGGTGCCAATTCATGGTGATCAACTATTTGAGGAACGCTCTCGTAATGTAAAATGGACATACCAAGTTGCTGATTCAAAATATGATAAATTCTCCAATCTTCTTCCAGAACATGCAGACTGGCACGCTAAAGTAACTCTATATAAGGTATAAAATTATAATCAATTTTTGTATGTTTCTTTCAAATGTCAAACAATTAATATTAATGATTACTTCTAGATTCTATGTGACTTGTTCGTGGATGATAATTCTGTTGCTGAGATTGGAACTTCCAAGGCCAGCATGGTCAGAACAGGTAAAACTAATGCTGCCAAAGGAGTCCACAATCATTATAATGAATACAAAGAATTCCACTCAAGGGAACTTGAAGCACACATCTGTGCCTCTTTCATGACATTTTGTGAAATGTCCAGCATTGATGGTAAGTATGTCAACATTTTTGTTACAGAATTTTAATTATCACACCTAGGTGTTTATTTGTTGTACTTGCAGATAAACCAACTTTAAACTTTCCTGAGCCACATTGTTCGAGACAAACTAAGATGGAATGGCTACTTCAAGTATGTAAAGATTATGTCATGAAGTTTGTATTGGCAGCTGGTGTCAATGTACTTGTGAACAAGACGACTGAACTTGAAAGAAGTACGAATGAGGGGTTTGCATGTCGATTTCAAGGCTGCATGGCAACATTCACATACCATTCAAGAAGAGTTAGGTAAATCATGAAAGAGTAGTAAATAGACAAAATCTAAATAAACAAAATTTATTTTTTTTCTAATTTTATTAATATTCACAGGCATGAGCTTGAAAAACACAACCTTCATCTATTGCCCCCATTTGAAGGTGATGAAAGAGATGAATTTGGCTACTATATTTGCCGAAGTAACTGTGGCTTGTGCTTTAAAACCAAATCAACTAGAAATAGGTCAGTATGATTGAAACAATGAGTGTTTTTCAAAAACTTGTGCAATACTTTGTAGCATTTAACATATCACAGGTTTGTTTAATATTCAATGGGTTTGCCTACTTTATTGCTTTGCAGGATATATATTTCACCACTTTATGCTAAGTGCTATATTGAGTAACCAAATTATTAAAGTTCGTTTGGTATTTTCCTGCCATGCTTAACTGAGTGCTAANACCTCCAGTCCTCTATGATCTAGCCCAACCGGCTTCAGCTGTCCATAATTACTCTACTAGGTATGCCACTAATCAAAACTTGTACAGACCATTCTCTAGAACCAATTATGGTCTAGCAAGATTTAGTGTGGTGGCATCACAGATCTGGCAAACGATACCTATTAAAATAAAGTGTCTCCCTGCCAAAAGCTTTAAAAAAGAATATAAACTCTTCCTACTTGGCAGGCAGACATCTTGAACAACTTTAACCTATCATAGAGCTCTATTTTACTATTTTAACTATTTAGTATATGTGCTATCTCCTTAAGTGTATTTAACTTTCACCCATCCGTAACTGCTCTGTGGTAGTGGCCAACTCGAAAGCTTGGCTCCTTTGGCTACTACACACTCTTTCCACTGCTTTGTGTAAATTCATGTATAGTTAGAACTCTCTTCTTTTTTTTTTTTTCTACTTTTTCTCTTTCTCGTTGTTGTATTTTTAGTAGAATAAGTGTGAATAAAAGAATGAATGAATGAATGAATGAGTAGTAACGCTATGTAACGCAACACAATAAACGCAATAACGGGCCTTTTCGCTCCATAAAAGGGTCTCAAACACTATTACTTAAAATGCATAAAACATTTGTGCCGTTGGAGCGCGTTTGAGCTCGTTTGGTCAGACTGAGCTGTTGAAAAAGGATCAAAATAGCCATACAAATCATTGAAAGGCTTCAAACTACGACGTACACATCAACGAAGTTGACCTTCTCGAAAACCGGTCTCAAATTACACGTGTAATTCTATCGAGAATGATAGAATACGCAAAAAATACGTACGGAAAGTACTTCTACACATTCATAATATATCAAATTAAATTTACCTATAGTGAAAGGAAAAGGAAACGGCCTAACTTCTACGGAATGTTCAGTCAAAATCTACCGATTTCTGTCACTTTAACAATGCAATGCAACTGAAGTGCGCACACAGCCTGACTCGAAATCTAGATAGACACTGAACAAGATGCTTAAAAAATAGGCTGCTAAGATTGCATATGGCTACTGCTGCTGTATCCCACATATTTATGAGTAAAGCTTGTTCCACAAGGGAATCGAAAGATGATTCAAGAAGGTAGTGACTAATTGACTCTCAACCACCAATGGTAACAAATAATCATACTAACTAACAATGATAATAATAATAATAATAATAACACTGAATAATAATAATAATGATGACAACAACAGTAATAATAGTTATAACTTATAGGGACTAGCTCAAGAAACTCAGTGTTTCCCTATTGGTCAATTTTCTAGGCTCCAACAACGCATGGTGCTTCTTTTAATTTTAAATTTGAATTTGCCACTTAATTATAAATGATTTTCTTACTTCATTGCAATTTCACTTTTGTGAGACTTTTGTTTCAAACAACAAGCCATTTCGTGTCGTGGGTTCTTCCGCCATTCTGCCGTTCCATCGTCCCACCGTTCTACTGTTCCATAGGGCCACTGTAAATTCATGGTATCATATTTCGGACCTTGCTCGCTTAGCGGCTCTTCTGAGCATTTATCGCTGATTGAAATGGTAAAGTACTCTCTTTTCGAATAAATAAATTTTCCTTCAAAGTTTCCACGATGTGCAAATCAAACCTATATAGATATTTCTGAGAGGAAAGGTCTTTCAGTTTCGCGCCGGAGACGCCATTGTGAATTTATTTTGAGATTTTTAATTACCATCTTTTGTGGTGTCGCGGCAAGAACTTAAAATTTTATCTTTGGTTTTACGAGGCATAATTCGCTAATTCGAACGGTGATAAACTCTCTCATCAAACATGAAATTTTTCTTTTAAGTTTGCACGATGCACTGATCACAAATTTTCAGACATTTCTGTGAGGTAAAGCTTTGTTTTTTCAAACGCCATCATGAAATAATTGTGAGATGCTTATCATTTTCTAAAGTAGTCCGAAACAAACAATAAATAGAATCGGGACACCGTATACACCGAATGCAAATATGGCGGACCACTCGGGCGAACCGGGCCGACTTGCGCGAAGTCGAGGCTATAATAATAATAATAATAATAATAATAATAATAATAATAATAATGATAATGATAATAATAATAATAGTGTCTTTATTGTTCAAAAGATAAAATTACATATCTTATGTTACATTAAAAAAAGGATGTAAATGAACTTGGGTGTATCTCTAAATAAGATAAATATATACGTAGAGACAAACACTTAAAAACTTTTCTATTAAAAAAGGTATTCTAAAAACGGTTCGTGCGAATGGCGGGCAT